CTTTTGGAATTCAAAAGTCGCTGTCCTACTTTGGCATTCCTGTTATTTTTAGGCTCTGTTTGCAACTACTTGTGCTTAAATAAAAGTACTTTTTGGGAAAAAGTGATTAGTAGTAAAAGTTGGTAGTATTTGATAAAATAAGTGCTTTTTGTGTAATAGAAAAAGTAAAAAGTAGATTGTACACGAAAACCGAAGAAGCAAAAGTTGGTAGTGTTTGGTAAAATAAGTGTTTTTTTCTTAAAAAAAAAACAAAATCCCTTTTTTTAATTGATTGCAAACAAAGCCTTACTCCTATAAACGATAATTTCTTTAATGCTTAGTGGTTGGTACATAACAGCTAGCGCCGGCCTAGCCTTCCTGCCTTCGTTCTGAATTCTGATACTCCGTACTATTTAGGACGACGTCTGTAGCAGATCACCATACATGCTACCAACAGTGAAAGCATTATACCAACGATAATAGCATACACAATTGCAGCACCGCCAGCACCTCCCATAAATGGGCCTTTTGCAGAGACTTGAACAAAGCAAATAAACAGATTAAGGACAAAGTAAAATGTGGGAATAGAATGATTCCCCATTTTTATTTCGTGAAGTGAAACGATGACCATACAAGTATTATGTTGGTGTTTTGGGATGACCAATTATATATAGATATATAGAAGAGCTAGCTTTTTCGATCAGTGGCTGGGTGGGCTGCGTGCCGTATTTCATACGTACGGAGTATATTATTATATTACACTACAAAAGACACAAATATAATCATGAGTCGCGCGTGCTGACGTACGCCCATACCGCATATGCACGTTTGCGCGAAAGCACCAGTACACAGTAGGCCCAGCCAGCCAACTTTTTTGTAATTAAAGGAGAAAAGAGTGTTTTCTTTGGACTATTTTCAGTCCCAGACCAGATCAGACTAAATCATACTAAATTAGATGATGGAGTTTATCCAACTACGAGAGCTAAATATACGTAAAGTATATAAATAATATCGAAAACCAATATGCCAGCATAAAGCAGTCTTACTCATATTCCGGAATTCGAATTGTCGATCCCTTGGTAGGGTGTTTACATGAAGTATTTATAGAGATTATGAAGTAGAATTATGAGAGGAATCTAATATAATAAATGTTTAATTAATTAAACTATATTCTTGCTCGAAATAGAACTCTCTTCCTGCTTCATTCTCACGCAATAATTGTTTCCTAGTTCCGATCGAGTCCTGCATGTTGCCAAATACTCCCTCCGTCCCAAAAACAACTTCCCACTTTCCTTAAATGGATGTCCCAAAATTAACTTCACACTTCAATACTTTCCTTATTTGGCAAATTATCTACATAAAAAAAGTGATAAACAATGCCAAACAATGTTTAAACAGTGTCAACCAGTGTTTAAACAGTGCCAAACAGTGTTTAAACAGTGTCAAACAATGTTTAAACAGTGCAAAACAGTGCACTCTACAGTAAAGTCAAATTTATTTTCTAAAAGTGTGTGAAAGTCAAACCGGGAGGTTGTTTTCGGGACGGAGGGAGTATCTATCATCGAATGATAGCTTGCCACGTAAGCCCTAGGAATATCCAGGCTTCACTAGAACTCCGCCAAGGCTCGAGGTCTGCTGTCCATCCCGGCCTGGCTGTGGGTTCCTATCGTGGGCCTAATTCCTAATGGGCCAAGCGGCTTATTCAATATGAATCCCGTTTATGGGCTGATCCCGTTAATTAGACTGATCCCGTCATGGGCTGATTTCGTTCATGTGCTGAGTTACGTCATTGGGCCATGGCTAGACTCCATGGTACCATCACTAGACTTCCGCAGTTATAAAATACATAGAGACCAGACATTTATTAGACCAGACCAACAAATTTCAATCCAAAATAAAACATCCTAAACAGGAGTAACAATGTTTTGAAATTCCAAAATAGGACTATCATGTTTGTTGGGTTAATGGCCCAATTAGGGAATCGATCCATGTAACATTTTCTATGGATAAATGTCCGGGCCCAACAAGCATTGAGGAGCAGAGACGTACGTCCCCACGGTCCAAGCAGCTACGCCTTCGGGGCCATGGAAGATGCGACACACGATGCCATTAGGTTTGGGAGTCGGCGCCCAGGGCTAGCCAGCATAATTTCGTACAAGGGCCAGAAGACGCCCGATCTACAATCCTTTGCAGCGACACCAAGGGGCGAAACACAAGATCAAGAGGGTGCTCGTCTCCATAAGTGGGCGGCAAACCGAGATTCTGGCGGGAAACGCATTTAATGCTGGAGATTTGGTGGTTGGGACATCAGCCATTCACAGCTCTCCACATCAGCATAGCCAACTGTTCATTGGTAGTATAATAAATAGTAGCATTTATTTCATTGTGAGAGGTTGGCAACTTATCTGCCTTAGCACTCTAGCTTATTCTTAGCTTACTACTCGCAACTCTTCTACTGAGGTGTAAGACGAACGGCCTTTGGCCTTAGCAAGCGTATTGCATCGGGGAGTTATTAGACTTTAATAATACTCGGTCCATTTACTTGCTTATATTTCTTGGCCCATCTTATTTGCTTGCATATCATACTCACTCACACTTTATCCATTCGAAATCCTTGGGCTCACGTGTTGGACCCGGGGCTTGAAAGAATAAATATCAACAATGTTTTTTATTCTCTGAATTGGAGTAATATGTCAAATTTGAAAAAAAAATGTCATGTTTAAAGCCTGGTAATGTCAAATTCGGCAAAAATTTACTCTTATTCAGAGAATAAAAAACACGATTATTCTATTTTAGAATTTCAAAACGTTTTTACTCCTATTTTGAGAATTCTCTCAAAAGAGTATTACTAGATGAAACTAAATTACAAAGAATCAAGAGGGTGTGAATTAGTGCACCCCCAAAAAAGGTTAAAAAGCTAGAAAAACAGCCGCTATATATTTGGGTCGAAAATGCAAGAGTGCGAGGAAGAAATGTTAGGGGTACACAAGTTGTACACAAAATGTCGGTCACAGACAATTGGTATGGAAAAAATGATATAAAAAGGTAGAGAAAAAGAGGATGAAGATTTTTTTTTGAGATCTTCGAATAGGTTGAGTAAAGAGGAAAGAAAGAAGGGAGAGGGGAGAAGAGAGAGTGGAGATAGAAACAGAAGAGGAAAATGATATTTTTTTGGGCCTTTTATATGGTGTACACTTTGTGTACACCATGTGTACCTTAAACATTTTTGGAAAAAATATAGGAAAATGCTAGGGGTACACAAGTTGTACACAACTTGTACACACAATGTCGGTCACAGACAATTGGTACGGAGTTGTCTGTGACCACAGACAAGAGTTGTCTGTGTACACAGACAAATTTTGTCTGTTTCCACAGACATTTACTTTTTTGTAAAAAGTACACTGAGAGCCGTCTGACATTGACAAGTACTCCCTCCGTCCCCCTAAGTTTGTCCCTTTTTACCTTTTTCGTCCGTCCCACTAAGTTTGTCTCATACCATATTTGGTAACATTTGAGTGGTTAGAATTAATTCTTACTTTATTTACACTTTATCAATTCAATACCAACCACACAATTCCACTTTTTCTTAAAAACCACACTACACCCCTCCGTCCCAAACTTAGGGGGACGGAGGGAGTACTTTTTACAAAAAGTAAATGTCTGTGGAAACAGACAAAATTTGATACAACCTATAATTAAAGTAATTAAAATTTATAGAAAAATAAAACATTTTAATAATAATTAAAATCAAAGCTAATTAGATTAATTTTAAGCAAAGTATGCTTAATTGGATAAGTGATTAAGATTAGTGAACACTAGTAAATAATTTTAAGGGAAATATGTTTAATTGCACAAAAATGATATTTTCCAACTAGAAATGAATGCTTTGATAGAAGTATTCTTTTCACCAAGTCTGTATACATGTTTACTTTCATCCCGACAATTCACCAACAGGTCTGAGCATAAAACATTTTCCCCCAAAATTTATGGTCTCTTTCGGAAAATCCACCAACAAGTCCCAGATAAAATTCAATACTACTACTACCTCCGCCCCCCTAAGTTTGGAACAAGAAAAGGTGGCACGATTATTAATAAAAGTGGGTTTATGTGGTTAATATTGAATTGATAAAGTAAGAATAAAGTAGAAATGATTTAGAACCACACAAACTTTACCAAATAAAATATGAGACAATCTTAGTGGGACGGACCGAAAAGGTAAAATGAGACAATCATAGCGGGACGGAGGGAGTAAAATAATATTTTAAAATACACTATCTTCTATCAGCATGTTTCACTTCCCTAAATCCTAACCTACTTGTGATGTATTTACTTGTGCCTAACACTAGTTCTCAAATCGTTTTAAAGAGAGCCCAATGCCTTTTTGATGAACACATGGATTCCAGTCTTATACAAAAGCATGGATTTTGCCATATCATAGTGCTCTTGATCTCCAACTCTTCAAGTATAGAGTAAAAGGCAATTTGCGCATAAAAGAAATGCATTATCTATAAACCAATAGCAAACCGAAGCATAGCATTGAAAACAAATCAATTATTTCTTGTATCATCTTCCCCACTTAGTTTGTCTGAACACCTCTATTACCTTTTTTAACAATCAACATCAAATTCATTTTATGTCACAAACAGTAACCAACAATGTCATTATCCGATCTATTGCAATCAAAATCATATTTTAATGCATTATCTAATGATCAGTCTGTACTTATGAGATGCACCGAAGAAGAGAGCTGCGGTCATGTGTTTCAAGCAGGAAGAGAGCTGCGTATAATGAAGCATAGAGTTTTTTTAGAAGAAAATTATTAAATAATCGGGAATCTTATAAAACCTAAGGGTTTGGTGGGTTTGAGATAACTGGGCATCGGATTACTTTTTACACTATTGGGATTCTAACATTACCAAAAAAAATCAAACCCGCGAACCAAACATAGGTATTTCACATTCCGGACATTAGATTCCGTTCTAACATTAGATCTCACATCAAACCCGCGAACCAAACAGTGCCTTAGGAATTGTGGCTTCACTTGATCACAGCCTACAGTTTGGAAGAATCTGTACTTTACTTTTCCGATTCCCTAATCCCTACCACTGGTCGTGGTCGACTCACTCGATTGGTGGAGAGTGGTAGGTCCAAGTGTCCAACTATAGCTCACATGCCAGAAGGGTTTTGAACTTCCCCCCAAAATACATATCCGCCATGGAAACTCCACCACAACCCCGAAAGAGAGGCCGACCCAAGGGTTCAACCAAAAAGGTCAAGGAGGACAAACAACGCGATTCGAAGCCTTCAGATGCAGCCGCTGCCTCCACCTCCAAGATTCGCAGGGGGGCCGGTACTGGCATTAAGGTCGCCGGCACCTCTGATGAGAAGTATGGCCAGTGGAAGTCACTGGTTCCGGTTCTTTATGACTGGTTCGCTAATCATAATCTCGTCTGGCCTTCACTCTCTTGCCGGTAAGATGTGTTATTGTTAAAAACTCATTCTTGTAATCTTGCATTTGAAGGCTAATTGATACACCGAGCTTTAACTTTGGCGGGTTGTATGGGGAAGAAAACGTGAAAGTTGTCCCGCTTGTCCGCGATTTGAGCAGTTTGGTTTACAATACAATATACCTTATAAACCTAAATTCTTAAAACTGGCAACTCACAATCACCCCCGCACAAGCCCAAGGGACTAAATTTGGAATTTTGTTTTGAATGTTGTATGATAAAAATGTACTGAGTAGCATTTTTTAAAATGTAGTAAGGGGAAAAGATTCTGGACTGTTTGCTGACTGAAAATAGCTCAGGTGGTTACTCGGTTGATCAGTGAACACATGGGTATATGGGTTCCATTATCTAATAGAGTAGAACATTTTGAAGATGTAATTTAATAAATTCCACTTTGTGCTATCAAAATTGTTTTACTTTTGTACGTTTATTTTGAGTGTTTTTCATCATCAAGATTTGTTGTTCATAGATGATATTTGATTGGGTAATGGATAGGTGGGGTCCTGTGGTTGAGCAGCACAGTCACAAAATTCTCCAGCGGCTTTACCTATCTGAACAGGTAACTATTTGTACTGCTTTAACTGTAATTCTGCAACCATGGTTTCATATTTCAACATAGTATTTCTTGATTTCTCAACAGTGATGTATAAACCTCATCATATTGACATTGTTATGGTGCACATGACATTTAATTGTCATTTCATGAGAAAAGCATTTTTTGGTCCTTGAGATTATACACTCAATCACAACCTGTATGTTGTACATCTTTATAATCAAAATTTCTAAAAATTGTATGTTTCTCTTTTTCTATTAATCCAATATTCATACGTAATCACTGATCTTTGGATAACAATGAGTGCCAATTGAGTGGTAGATTTTCTTCACCACATAGTTTGGACTGCTTGCATATCCATCTATTTATTTGAATTCATCATTACTTCGTAGATGTGAAGTTCATTCTTGCTTCCAAATTTAACTGCATTCATTCTCTATTTTCCCCATTGTTGAGTACATGTTGAGAACCTCATATTTCAATGGGTTAATGCTCCCACCTTTTCATTTGGACTGTTTCACCAGACAGATCAATCAGCACCAAACACACTGGTTATAGCTAACTGTGAGGTTGTTCGAGCAAGAATTGCAACTGGAAGTCACATGAAAAATGTAACTTTGAGTTTTATTTAGATAAGTTCTAAATTGCTTTCCTAGTGCTATTCATCATGCAATTTTAATATATTCTTTATGTAACTTTAGTTCAATGCGGAATCACACTCGCCATATGTCAAAAAGTACAAAACAATTATTCACCCAGGAGAGGTATGTGCACCTTTCTGGCGCTATTTACACATTTGAACACACAAAAGGGAAGGTGCCAAATTCATATTGAACTTAACACGGTGTAGACTTACAGGATTTATTTTGTGGTAAGGTGCCTGTAGATTGTTTAATATCTATATTTGCTGTGTGAAAATGTGAAATTCTATATAATATAAACTGTAGGTGAACAGGATCAGAGAGCTTCCTCAGAATAAAAACATAGTGGCTACCCATACTGATAGTCCCGAGGCAAGTTGTTGGATATTTATTACTATTTACTCTCTTTCCATGGTTAGTGGAAGGTGAGCCCACTTCAGATATCACTTAAATTTGTAATTTATGTATTTTTAGGTTTTAATATGGGATGTTGAAGCCCAACCTCATAGGCAAGATGTTCCTGGAGCTGCTGTTTCTGTTCCAGATTTGGTGTGTATTCTTGATCTATTTCCCCAACCTCTATATTTGATTGATATGTATTTACTTTTAATTAAATACTTACTATTGTTTCTGGGTATGTTACTATGTTTGTTGGTCTATTATCACTCTAGTCCATTCAAGGAGATATTTGATGGCAAAGGTGTTAGTTAGAGATTATAATGGACAAGGTAGTCAAAAGCGAGCGTTTGAGGGCACCAGGCGACACACTACTAAGTGTGCACGCTTTTGAGAATTCCCAGGCGCAGCAATAGCACACGAAGCACATAAAAAGCGCCCTCACAAAAGAGGCAGAAGCGCATAGGGCACACACTTAAAGCTCCTAGGTCAGATTAGGATTTTAAGCTGAGTTTCCTTTCCACAAAGACTTGGATCCATTTTCATGTAGCCCATATTCATATTTAGGGGTCAGTGGGTTATCCCATTCAAGTAACTAGACATAATGGAAAACTCCTCCAAACAAGACAGTATCACATGGTGCAGTGAGCAGTGACTTGGGTAGTATTAGAGAGAGCTTTATAGTTCTTTTTTGAAGTTTTCTCTCCTTTAGTGATGATATAGGTGGTCGGTTGACATGCCGTGATGTAAATAGCACAACAGCAGCATGAAGACCCATGATTTTTTCTCGAAGAAATGCATCTACTAGTCAACTCATATGATCTTAGAGAGTTGGGAGTTGGGACTAATCGCTCTTTTAACAATGAATGATCTTAGGGAGTTGGGACTCAGGAATTGAGTTAGGATCTACATTATGTTATGAATTGTGAATTTGGTGTTTTATTTTTGTAAATCATGACTTTTCTTTGAATCTGCATTTAACTAGTATAATGGATTAGGAAAGTATAAAGGTTATTATTGTATCATTTGTGCTTATTTCTGGGGCATGTTTGATAAATCTAGAATAGTGTAAATTAGTATTTATAAAATCTTGCGCCTTGCATGAGTCAGGCGTGTGCTTTATTAGCGTGTTGCGCCTCGGGCGAGACTAGGAGTCTAGTGCCTTGGGTGCGCTTTACAGCTTTGATTTCCTTGGTAATAGATATATTATGTTGAATTTGTGGATAGAGATAAACATAATCTTGTATCCCTTGAAAGAAGGAAGAATTTATTTTCGATATATTTCGATTGGTGCCTGTTAGGAAAAGATATACAACTATAGTTGTAGGTTCTACCAAATAAAGTGCAAAAGATCTTGAAACTTCTTACTTTTGGGAATCAATGAAGAAGGAATAAGATCATCTAGTTCTTTTTTATTAAAGAACGATATTGGTAAATATTTGCCATAGGAAATGCTGATTTGGCCATGTTCCATGATTTGTGTGTTGGTCTTGAATATTACTCCAGGGGGGTCTGTGGGAGGGGGGCTGGGGGGTCTGGAGTAATCACGGTTGAAACTCACTCCATTGAGTTTCGAACCCTTGTGTGCCTAGCGGGTTTTGAACTCGAGACCTCCCATTAGGCACGGTAACCTCACAACCAGTTGGGCTGAAATGTTTGGTTTGATAATCTGCAGTCCTATCTAGATAATTATACACATGTAGTTCTACTAGTGTACTTCGGTTAACTTTTAGTCCTATTTAGAGCATTTACTATATTTTATTCATTTTTTAGTTGTAATCATTTTTAGCTGGCTTAGGAATATGATGGAATAAAGCAAAATGGCTCACTAAACTGTCATGCGCTTCTTTGTTATGAAGCAACGGTCAGTCAATGCAATTTTTTATGCGATTTTCACTATGGGTCATCCGGAAATAGTCTCTCTGTGCTTTTGTACATGGGTAAGACTGCGTACATCCGACCCCCCTTACCCCACCATAGGTGGGAGCCTTTGCAGCACTGGGGTAATGATGATGATGAATCATTTTTAGTTGTAAATTTGTAATTAGTTTCTTATTATCAATATCTTCCTATTAGGAATAGGGCCCTTATGATAGCTATATAAGGGACACTCATATTGATTACTTCCTCCGTATTCTTTTGTTTAGTACACTTTCCTTTTTAGGTGTATTTTAATTTTACTACACTTTTCATTTTCAGTAAATCTGTACTTTTCCCTTAAAAATACTCAATTACCCTTAAATTTTCTACTTTTTATCTTCTCTTTCATACTTTTCCACCCTCTCTCCTATTTTTTCTACCCTATTCATTACCCCTACTACTTTTCCTTTAAACATTGTGCCAACTGCCAACCCCTATTGTAGCAAACATTACTATACAGAGGGAGTAATAAAGTACTTTTGGAAGAATTGATTCTTGGGGGTCTTGACTTTTGACCAGGTCAGGAACCAGATTAAATTCCAAATTTCCAACAAAGCCTTTTTATTTTGGTTTCTCTGTCTGTTCTTAAAATAGACAAAAAATGCATCTCTTTCTGCCCTACTTTGCTCCTGTTCTCTTATTCATAATATTGCATGGGATCTTGTTCGTGGTCTCTTAACACCAGTGTTCATATTATATCTGTCACTATGTTAATTAATTAATGCCACCAACCCCATCGGGTTGATATTAATGTGATGACGATGACGATGAGAATTGCTAATGTAAAGCTTTCGGTGCTTTATGGACCATACCCCCTTGACCCCTTCACTCCTTGGTGCCCATTAACTAAAATCTTTACGTATCCCAGATATCATAAATTGCTCTAAGTAGGAGTAAAAAAGATGATTTTCCGCAATTTGAGTACTATGTTTTCTCCAAAATAAGAGTAATCGTGACATTATTAATATCCCTACATTAGGGCCTGGTAATGCCAAATTATGGCATTATGATTTCAGGATGACAATAACATAATCCTATTTACTGTAAAAGCATAGTGTTCTATTTAGGGAAAACTCATTGTTTTTACTCCTGTTTCGGGAAATTCCCCCCAAGATATGTTCTGTACAAAAATCTGTTTCCAAAATGTCCACCTCAATGTATTGATCTGAATTTGTAAATGAATGTCTGTAACTCTCGATAACCTATAATTTGAAAAGGGCTAAATTAGGATACATTTGTCTTCAGGCAGAATTCAAGGCAACTTGTTTCATAAAATATACACCCATATTACTTTCCCAATTAATGGTCCTATTTTGGCAGAAATTAACTGGACATCAAGATAATGCTGAATTTGCTCTGGGAATGTGCCCCCTTGAGCCCTTTGTGCTATCTGGAGGTTGGAAAATTTCATCAACTTTTTTACCATCGAGTGTCAATCTATCAAGTTCTATTCTGATTTAGTTTGATGAGTTGGTTTATGGTTTACTTCCCAGCCCCCTAAGAATAGAAATCTAATTTGTGCATTATGTTGAGCTATGCATTGTTGTATATGTGTTGCAGGAAAAGATAAATGTGTAGTACTGTGGAGCATTCAGGATCATATATCTACATTGGCTACAGACAGACATAAGGCTGAAGGGTCAGCTGGTTCATCTATTAAAGCTGTTGACAATCCTTCAATTGGAGCCCGTGGAATCTTTAAAGGGCATGATGATACTGTTGAAGATGTTCAGTTCTGTCCTTCAAGGTAATAGTTAAATCTATGCGACTATGCCTGTTCATATTCCACTGGAAATCAATAATTCTATAATCCATTGTTAATGGAGCTCATGATGGTACAGTGGATTATGCTTGGAAGAGTGCCAAAGTATTCTCTATTTCTATTTTGAATGAAATAGAAATCAATGTGTATTATGATATAGTTCCTGAATCATATTCTGTGTTGTGGTCTTAGGTTTTTGACTGTTTATCTGTTATTGATGCAGTTCTCAGGAGTTCTGTAGTGTTGGGGATGATTCCTGCCTAATATTATGGGATGCGCGGGCCAGTTCTACTCCAGTCATAAAGGTGAAATATAAATCCTCGCTATTTGGTACTCTTTTATGTTAATTATTGTAAAGTGTACTGTATTTATCATGTAATGAAATGATTCTAGGGGTCTAATTGTTTATATAAGCTACATGGATATTTTAAATTTTGAAATCAGGTTGAAAAAGCTCGTAATGCAGATCTTCATTGTGTTGATTGGAATCCCCATGATGACAATCTTATATTAACTGGGTATTTCTCTATCAACTTTAACATTTTAATATGTCTAATGTCTTAAATAATGTAAAATGAAAAAGGATGTATTTATTATTCATGTTGTTAGTGTTGTTGTTGGTGTTGGTGATATTGTTGTTGTTAGAATTATTATTAATACTGTATTGTTGTGCTGCACTCATTATTTGTTGTGCTGTTCTGTTTAGATCTGCAGATGCTTCCGTCTGCTTGTTTGATAGGCGTAGTTTAACTTCAAACGGAGTGGGTTCACCAATTCATATATTTGAAAATCACACATCAGCAATTCTTTGTGTGCAGGTATTAATTAAGTGTTTCTCTTGTTCAAGTCATTCATGCTAATGCAATACTATCACGTGCTAGATTATTAACCTCTTATTACACATCACACCTATTTTTATTCCAGTGGTCTCCAGACAAGTCATCTGTTTTTGGGAGTTCTGCAGAGGACGGTCGACTGAATATATGGGATTATGCGAAGGTAATACGTGGGTATAACATTAGCATGTGGTTTTAATATGGTAAATTTCCCAAAATATAGGAGGAAAATCAAGGTGGTTCCTCTAAGTTGGAGTACAATGTTTTTTCTCTAAATAGGAGATTTGGAGTACAAATGTACATACAATACAACCATTTTGAAATTATACTGTCATATTATGACATTATAAAGTATTTATATGGCAGTAGTAATGCCATAATATTACTGAAAAAGATGACATTATTTACTCACTTATTGGAAAAACCATAGGAAGGAAACAACCATTACTCAATGGAAACCTATATTTAGAAACGACCTTGTTTTTATTCCTATTTAGGGTATTTTTTTTAATAGTTCCTCCATCCCAAGATTTTCTCCAGTGTTTCATTTTAAGGAAACAATTTTGTGGTTGATATGGTTTCTCTCCCTTCTAAGCAAACTGTAACCACACAATTACAAAAAATAGAAATTCTTGGTTTGCAAGAAATGGCAAATAGAGACATAAAAAGAGTGAGAAGAGGAGGTGAATATTAGTTGTTTGGTGAATTGACGTAGAGATAATCTGGTAGGAGAAATTCAGTTTGGTGAGGCCCACGCTACTTTCACTTCCTCTACTCTAGTGGAAAGAAAGTCATTTATAACTTTTTAGTTCTTTCATGCCACACAATTTTAAATTCTACTCTTTCATCTTTACTTCATTCTTGTCATTCTCTCTTTTCACTTTCTCCCCCCATCCAAACAAGCATTACCGTTAATTACAACTTTATGAAATGTCTTCCTTGCAGGTTGGTGAGGATACTCAGGCGCCTGCTGGATTATTTTTTCAGCATGCCGGACACAGGTTGCTGATCACAAACTTCATAAACCATTTCCCCCGTTCTTTGGATTGAGCTTTGTTTACAATTTCTACCACATGCTTTACTTTTCTTAATCTAGAACACATTCTTAGTGATGGTTGTCCACTAAGGGTCTGTCTGAAACTTGGAAAATGAAGCACAAAATATATGGAGGAAAATAAGTGGGAAGTTTTGAAGGAAAGGAAGTGGGGGATGGGAGTAAGTTCCAAATAGGTGTGAAGTAGGAAAAGAAGCAAAATGATAAGATAAAAAGGGTATATTGAAAAAAAAAAGAATATAGATAGTATAAGTTTAGAAGGAAAGGAAGTGGGGCAAATAAGATGCTGGGCTTTACTCCAAGTTATCATGTTCATCAATAAGTTATTTTTTGTACAGTTAAAGTTCTTTTTTTAATCACATAAAGACTGACATATCTAGACACATGTAAGATTTCTAAAAACATTAATCGCATTTCTTTTCCTTCGCAATTTTTAAGGTAAATGCAAACACAAGAAAATAACTCCCCTAGCAATTCCTCCCCATAGCATTTCCTGTGATCTGGAATACCCTATAATTTTTTACACAGGGATAAAGTTGTAGACTTTCAGTGGAATGCATCTGATCCATGGACAATTGTTAGTGTATCTGGTGACAGTGAGTCCTCAGTTAGAGGAGGCGGCACACTTCAGGTATTAAAATAACTTGAAAATATTCTACTCCTGGTCCCAGAATTATTAAGTTGATCTTACTTTTGGTTCCCTACTTTTTTTTACATTTCTGGTTTAAAACTGTGAACTTCTTAGTTTCTTACCACTATTTCCCTTTATTTCTCCAATTTTTTTTGCTGGATAAGTGACCGGACGGGAATCCATCATTTCTAATGGTGCCAAAGACTCACTATTTTTTGGCTTGGGAATATGATGGAATAAAGCAAAATGGCTCACTAAACTGTTTCTGCTTCTTTGTTATGACTCAACAGTCTCTATGTGCTTTAGTATAGGGGTAAAACATCCGACCCCCCCCTTACCCCACCATAGGTGGGAGCCTTTGTGTCACTGGAATAATGTTGTTGTATAAGTGACTGGACGGGCTGAAAATGGTAAGAGCACATGCTTGTGGCCAAAGGTGAAAAAATGAAAGATAGGGACATTTAGGGTGTGTTTGGGAGTTGGTTTTTGGGAGGGAGGGGAAGACATGTGAGAGTTGATGACCCTCCTATTTGTGTTTGGGAGTTGGTTTTTGGGAGGGAGGGGAAGACATGTGAGAGTTGATGACCCTCCTATTTGTGTTTGGGAGTTTAAAGAATGTGAAGGAATGGTTTTGGAAGGTTTTTGTGACCCTTCAAAACATCTCAAATGCTCAATTTTTTAGTTCCTCTAAAATGAAGGATTTTGAAGGATTGCTAACTAAATGATAATTTAAGTTAAATTTAAAATGAATATCAGTTCAACTATTTGAATTCACCATATCTTAGAAGCAATTTTAATTATAATTCCTCCTCCTCCATAGAAGTCTTAACATGATTAATTTAGGTATCATGATATAAGTAAAAAAATAGGATTGACTAGATGGTGGATCTTTATAAAATGTTTATGATTGCATCAAATGCTATTTGTTATTATTTTCTGCTGTATATATAACACATGTTAGACTAATGTTGCTAAAAAAGTTCTGGCATTTTTCTAAAATGTAATAGTGCATGACCGAGTCATCGATCTTACTTGCTACTCGACCTTTGACCGAGTAGCCACGGACAGGGACGGAGCTACAGCTAAATTCAAGGGGGCCAAGCCCCCCCAACTTTCCATTTTGATTTACTAGTTTTAGTTTTTTTTTATTGGCCCCCACCCTGCCTTATATTCTTTAGTACTCCCTGATTCCCCCACATGTTAGACTAATGTTGCTAAAAAAAGTTCTGGCATTTTTCTAAAATGTAATAGTGCATGACCGAGTGGTCGATCTTACTTGCTACTCGACCTTTGACCGAGTAGCCACGGACAGGGACGGAGCTACAGCTAAATTCAAGGGGGCCAAGCCCCCCAACTTTCCATTTTAATTTAGTACTATTAGTTTTTTCTATTGGCCCCCACCCTGCCTTTTATTCTTTAGTACTCCCTGATTCCCCCACATGTTAGACTAATGTTGCTAAAAAAAGTTTGGCATTTTTCTAAAATGTAATAGTGCATGACCGAGTAGTCGATCTTACTTGCTACTCGACCTTTGACCGAGTAGCCACGGACAGGGACGGAGCTACAGCTAAATTCAAGGGGGCCAAGCCCCCCAACTTTCCATTTTAATTTAGTACTATTAGTTTTTTCTATTGGCCCCCACCCTGCCTTTTATTCTTTAGTACTCCCTGATTCCCTAGTTCGTAAGTAGTGCATCAATATATCAAGTACTACGTATTTACCATACGGCTGTATTCAAATCATTTTATTTTAAAGCCCAGTCCAAGAATATTATCAAGAAGAATTGGTTTGGGATACTTGGATGCAGTTGCAGTATGCTGATTGCTGATTTCGAAAAATGCGAAGTGAAGACCGGAGAAAAATATGGGTTCAGTGGCTGAGCTCAACTCCTAAGATTGAAATCTGAATTCTCTTTTTAATTAATATCAAGTAAAATATTAGTCTTTACTAATAATTTAAAATTCAAAGTAATTTCACTATTGAGTACTTATTGACTGGCATACTAATTTAAGTTTTATTGTTGCTTAGATATGTGATTCTTGTTTTCTTAATACTATTAAAAGATAGGATTTGTTTTAGTTCAAATATCAGTGAATACTTAACTAAAGAAATAATATTTAGTATTTAAAAGAATTCTTTATTATTTAAGAAGGTGTTAGTATATATTGTCTCAATTTAGAGATGAATTAAAGAGCTTATGTTAATCTAACATTCTCTGAAAAATTCATTTTAGGGCTCTTTGGTATTCATTTTACTATTTAATTAAATATTTAATGAAATATTAGACAAACTTATTTTAGAGCCTGCATATTTTTGTGACATGTAAGAGCGACATTCTAAATTTTAATCGTTTAATCATGTATTTTTGAATGTTTTAAATGAATATCAATACATTATTTAATATTTATTGTATTTGTATTTTATATGTTCTATTTTTTATTTCACTCTGGCCCCCTCTCAATCAAATCCTGGCTCCGCCCTGGCCACGGAGCATGATATAAGTAAAAAATTAGGACTGACTAGATGATTGATCTTTACAAAATGTTTATGATTGCATCAGATGATATCTGTTATTTTCTGCTGCATACAACACTTGTTAGACTAATGTTTAAAAAAAGTTCTGGCATTTTTTTAAATTTACTAGTACATGACCAAGTAGTCGATCTTACTTGCTACTCGGTCCTTGACCGAGTAGCCACAGAGTACCAATTTAACTACTTAGGCAATTACTGTATCTGGCTCCACTCTTATAGTTAGCACTTGTGAGTAATCTGTACCAATTTATCATCTTTCACTGCAGATATGGCGAATGCTTGATTTGCTTTATCGGCCTCGAGAGGAGGCATTGGCTGAGCTTCAAAAGTTCAAAGACCATATTTCCCAGTGTACTACTCCCAAGCCACCAGCCTGAGATACGATTGGTGTGTGAGATAGTCTACTTTCTCATAACAGGTTGACTTGCGCATCTCAGCCAACCTCTTACCTCCGTATTTTGATTAGAGAGTTTCTCATAACAGGTTTGAGGTTCATGCGATGCTCTTGCTAGAGAAAACGTTTGGTAGTTAATGGAAACTTAAAAGGATTGATAAGTACTTGCTAATGTCGCAAACAAGTCCATTTTTCGGTGTTTACAATTCGGGAATATTGAAGTTATACCATACATGCACAAAAGCTTAGACAATGTAGAGGTGTATATGATTCGAATCTGTCCTAATCTTTAGTATTCGTAGGATTGAATTGAATATAATAATTTGGGCATATCTGATCAACTTTTGTGCTTGGCACCGATTTGAATTGATTCTGGGTTTGGCTCAAGATCACCAAATCGTATTGCATATTATATTTCCTACAATCATACCTTTGCAAATTACTTCTGAAAAGTTACCTGTGCTTTTTAAGAATTACATGACTATGAAATTGTGAATGCTTAAGTTACAAATTTTCATTTTACAAAGATACACCATTTAATATTTCAATTTCACGTATTTGCAATTCTACATGTTATTCTTCTATATATGTTAAGAAAAGCAAAAGAATAAGGATGGCAACGCCGAGTAGAAGGTAGGGTTGTATTTGGGCCGGGTCGGGTCCGGGCCGGGCATAGGCCCAGGCGCGCCGCCGGTTCTAAATAGTTGGGCCCGGGACTGGCCCGGGTAGCTACCGGGTCCGGGCCGGGCCTCGGGTTTGGTTATTTTTTTTTGCTTTCCTAAGTATCCCTGACCCCCCCACCCCACCCCCCAAACCCCTCCTAAACATAAAGCCCAACCCAGGTGGAACCCAAAACAAATGAAAAAACAAAAAAAAATCAATTTGGCCCGAACTGGGCCCGCAGGGCTGGGCATCCTTTTCATTGACCCTAGCGCTTCCCGCTTTTCTGACCTAACCGGGCCATAGACCGTTTGGGGCCCGCAGCACCGGGCCGGGCCGGTTCTCGGGCTCGGTGACCCGAACCGAGTCCAGGACTAGTAGAAGGGAGGCTGTGTAGTTCTTTCAAGCTTCTTGACGTAGAGGTAGACCTGCACAAAAAGGGGCTCGGGCTGGGCTTGGGCTCGGGCTTGGGCCTGGCTTTTTATAATTTTTTTGCCCATCATGTGTGGACGGGCTTGGCCTGGCCCGCAAAACGGGCCTAACTCCATGTCCATACCCGCCCGTAAGAGCGGGTCGGGTAGTCCACCGGGCCTCCCGGCCCGGAAAAACTTTAAATTTTTCTAAATTATATAATTTTTTTAGGGAAAAGGTACAAATATACCCCTGTAGTATGGGTGTGGGAACAGATATACCCCTATTCTATTTTTCAGAACAAATATACCCCTGAACTTTTAAAAAGGTGCAAAAATATCCCTCATGTTCTTATAAAGGGGTAAATTAATCCTTATTGACTTTAAATTAATAAAATAAATTTCAAAAAACCCAATATAAATTATAAATTCAAAATTTAAAAACAAAAAATTTTAAAAATGTAATAGTGTCTAATTCTCCATTTTATAGTTTTTATATCACTATTTAATATTGTTTGAGCATGAAATATTTTCAAAATTTTACTATATGTTTAAGATTCTTTCGAAAAGGTGCAACATATGTTTTGCAATGTAGAGAAAAATTAATTTTTTGCATTCTTTGCAATATAAATTACATATTTTGAAATAATATTTTATACTTAAAATATTAAATTGTGATATAAAAACAATAAAGGAAGAAATGGACACAATTACATTTTTTAAATTTTTATTTTTTAATTTCGATTTATTAATTTATTTTTGGTCTTTTTTGAAATTTATTTGATTAATTTAAAGTCAATAAAGATTAATTTACTCCTTTATAAAAAAATGAGGGATATTTTTGCACCCTTTTAAAAGTTTAGGGTTATATTTGTTCCGAAAAATAGAATAAGGGTATATTTGTTCCTCCACCTATACTACAAGGGTATATATGTACTTTTTTTAATACTTTAAAAATAATATGACAGCATTTAAAAAATTGTTAATACGCTAATAATATTTATAGACCTTTCACAGTTTCACCACATATAAAAATAATACTTACATAAAGATAATAATAAGAAACTATATCTAAAAAATAAATTTCAAGCAAAAAGTATTATCTTTAAGTACCAAAATAGATACTATATTAGTTGGGCTAGTTGTTAAGAAATAAAAACTTAAATTTATATATAATAAACTATAAATATGTATCTATCTATAGATAATACATTTGAGAGATACAATTAAGAAAAGTATATGTCACATGTCATGCTCTAAGCAAATCCTAATTAAACTTTTAAAATACCTTAATTTTCCTACGTAAGAGTTGCTAAAAATTAGAACCCATGTTAGATTGGAATTAGTGCTGGACTCGGGCCGGTTCGGGCCCGGTTCGGGCCTGGGCCCGGCCGGGCCTCGGGCCAGGAAAGGGAGGCCCGAGCCCGAACCGCCGGTGGCCGGTTCCGGTCCCAGTTCCGGGCCGAACCGGCCCACTTAATTTTTTTTTTGTTCTCCTATTTAATCCCCTACCCCTCCCCCTCAACCCCAAACCATCCCAAACCACCTCAAATGGCCCAAAATACCTAATCCAACCTAAAACTTAAAAAAATTTCAAAAAAAAAAAAAATTAAAATCCGGCCCGGACCGGGCCCGAACCGGCCGGGCCGGTTCACCAAAACCTGGGCCCGGGCCCGAACCGCCCAGCAGCCGGGCCGGGCCGAACCGAACCGGTGGACCCACAGGGCCCCGGGCCGGGCCGGGCCAAACAGTAACCGGGCCGGGCCGCTCGGCCCGGCACTAATTGGAATTCAGACTCATCAACAAGGTCATCATTAAAATTGGATTTTAATTGAATAATAATTGAAAGGAATTATTACCCTAAATAGGACTAAATTAGTTCTTGAAATTCCTAAATAGGACTCAATTACCCATTTACCTTTTTTTTTTCTTTCTCTACTCCGGGTACGCGTTACTCCCCAGCGCAACGATAAAAAAAATCTTATCCCCAACCCATTTCTTTTTCTCTGACTTGCGATTCTTCTTCTTCCCCCATACGCACAAATGGCACAACAACCTTCCCTACACCCCCCCTTCTCCTTCCGTGCAACTCTTCTTCTTACCCATTCGCCGACGCTGATACGAAGTCCGCCGCCGTCTCCGCCGCAGGTCTTCTTCTCTGCCGCTGGCGCCGCTGACGGAGATAAACTTCTCTTCTCAATAGATCTTCTTCTCTTCAGTGATTGTTCTATTCCGTTTCTTCTTTGATTGTTACAAATGCCAAATGAAATCTGAAAATGCCGTATGAATGGCATTTTTAGTCTTAAAAAAAATTTGTATTTTCATTTGGAACTGCCATTAAAATGGCATTCTAATAAAGAACTTGGCATTTTCGTCGGATTAGGGCAGATCTGTAACTGAGGAGGTCAGATTTGTAGTGGCGGATGCCGAATTAGTTGAGAAAGTGGCTGGATCTGAAGGGACAGCGGCTGACGGCCGACAGAGACTCAATCCGGCCAGATCTCCGGCGACGCCCGCCAGGTCTGCAACAGCGGTGGGCATATCTGCAACGACGGTCGGCAGATCTGTAATGGCGACCCATTTTTCATTAGGCAAATATCTCTAATTGAAATTGAAGTCTCCATATAGACCATCACCTTATATAATACAGATTTTCTAATTCGGGGTGTTTGGTTGCTGGCCTATCAACTGTTTTTTTTTTGGTGTTTTGACTAATAATTGACTTTTTGACCAGATGAAACAGGTAATAGGGTGTTTGGTAGCATGGCTTTTTTATCTGGCTTTTTCATCAAAACAGCCAAAACTCAAAATGCCACTAAACCCAGCGTTTAGCCATTAGCCTTTCTGTTTCTCCTCCGATTTTCCTGATTTGCCCACACCCGATATTCCATCGTTAGTTTTTAATTTCTCCATGTGATAAAAAAAATTCCGTATTAATTTTCCGTTGGTAATTTGCTTGGCAGCACTTCTCTTGGAGGCCTGTAGAATTATACGGAGTACTTCGTATGTTCAAAAAAAATTGTTAAGAGGTCCCACATAAAATATTAAGAGATAAATCCTAGTATATTACATAGTTGAGTCGATCCTAACATGCATACAAAAGCATAGAATTCTCTCAAAATGTAAAGGACTCAATTTTACTTGGTTTTGGAAGTATACATTTACTTATATGTTACTCCGTATAACGCTATTTATGAAGAAAAATATTGGCATACCAACTAAATTTATTTATACATGAAATAGTGTTAAAATAATTATTACTTGTTTTCATAAATTTTTTAGTTTATAAATCATAAAGTAAAAACGTTTTAAGTAATTGTACTAATGACATTATAAAAGAAAAATTAATTGATGTCCATAAAAGTCATTTAACAAGTTATCTGCTAATTGTAAACGGCTATTTTACCAAACATTTTTTTACAAACTGCTAATGTTATCAGTTAATCAAAACCGCCAACAGAATCCGCTGTGATCAATCAGCCAACAGAATCCGCCAACAGCTAACAGTCAACCGCCATTTGCCAAACACCCCTTCATCTCTTCTGATCGGATATATTACTTTGAAGGTCATAGAAAGAAGAAACGAAAACTTCTGTAATTAAGGTTCCTAAAGTTTAAGTAAATCTAGACATTAAAATTAAACTGAACATGACAAAATAAAAATTATCTTCTTGCCACGTATTTTATGGCTAGGAAAAAGCTTATATGTGTAGCAAAATTTTGATTTCGCATGTTGATCGAATTGTATAATTATAACAAATATTAAGGTTAAAGTTGCTTTTTTGACTAATGGATTGAAGTCACATACTATAGAAGATAATTATATCTAGGGAGATTTCCCAAAATAGGATTTGAAATTCTAAAATAGGATTGTTATATTTACTCTCATCTTTAAGTCATGAGTGACAAATAGTTGTAGTACTATACATTCAAAATGATAGTATTTATTATGGTTAATAACAATATTTTTCAATCATGACAGCAACGACTCCTATTCCAAAAAAAAAACATAATAGTCCTATTTTGGAATTTCTACAATTCTTTACTCCTATTTAGGATAATTTCCCTTACACCTATTGTTCATATAGTTTTAGAGGTTGCCCCGTTTTTCTAATTTAAATATTTCTGATCTGAATCATTCTGATCTCATCTTATCTGATTTGAATCTTTATAATTTGACTTGATCAGAATCTTTTCGATACGATCGGATCATAATATTTCTGATCCGACTGAGTGCTTATTGTTATCAAATTATTATTAATATTATAATTATATATTAATTATGATTTAATTAAGATTATTATTATAATCATCATTGATAATGTTATTATTAAAATTATAATTATAAATTATAATTTTTATAATAATAATAATAATAATTTGATAATAATA